GAAAATAAAGTGAGAGAGAGAGAGAATGAGAGTTTATATACCAAAATAGCATTAGCAAATATAGTAAATTTACATATACACATGCAAATAAATATTCAATGCATATACAGTACACACACACACACACACACACACACACACACATACCTAAATACATATATATATATTCATAGTATAGTGTAGTATAGTAAATGTTCATATAGTGCACATGCACTGAAAAGAATAGTTGAAACAAATTTCATTCAGAAATTGCTAGTAAATTTCACAATTAATTACAAAGAAATGGCAATAAACACACTGCATTAAGCATGAAATTTGGAACTAGAAACACTGAAATGGTATTTCCTCATAAAATGTATTCCAATAATTGTTGTTTAATTGACAACTTCGAAAAAAAAAAAAATTATAGAGCACACACACACACACACACACACACACATATATATATATATATATATATATATGCAAATCTATATATCATATATACAAACTCATAGTACATATAGATATAGTAGAATTTCTATATATATAATTTACAATTTATATACAATTTACATACTGCTATTACTACACTATCTAGTGTAGACAAACACACACAGGGAAAAGCAGCAGTGCAGGTCACCTGCTGGAGGTGTGAGGTTAGTGCCACCAACCATCAGTGGGTCATACTGGCCTTTAACACAATACTCTCTGTGAATTCCATTAAAAAAGCTGTGCATATCTGAAAGTGTCTGTGGAGGCGATTAGGAAAGGTTTTGCTTGGCGCACATCGCATGGCAACAAGGCGGCTTAACTACTGGTTGCTAAGGACAGAATCAGGCGAGCCCCCCTGAAGAGATTCCGTGCCAAAAAAAAGAAAAGGAATTCCCCCCACCCCGTGGCAGCGCTAGAAAATGCCACTGCTGGGTTACTATGGTGACCACATGGAGTCAATGAAGGAGAGAATGGGGCCACATGTGTCTTTTAAGGGTGGCAGATTGTCAGATTGGAGATGTTGTGGAGGAGAACGCTGTGAAACACAGAGTCTGGATTAACCCACAGTATTCCCAGACAGTATTGTAGCTGGCAGTCTCATTGTGACAAATGGTGCTGTTTTGCCCCAAACCGACTTAATTAATTTTATATTAGTGACAAATGTGGAATAGAGCAGATGGAAGAAAAACCTTTTTAATGTATAATCAATATGCTTTAAGATAACATAAAATAATGCTATACAGAGCTATTAGGCGGCTTAACTACTGGTTGCTAAGGACAGAATCAGGCGAGCCCCCTGAAGAGATTCCTTGCCAAAAAAAAGAAAAGGAATTCCCCCCACCCAGTGGCAGCGCTAGAAAATGCCACTGCTGGGTTACTATGGTGACCACATGGAGTCAATGAAGGAGAGAATGGGGCCACATGTGTCTTTTAAGGGTGGCAGATTGTCAGATTGGAGATGTTGTGGAGGAGAACGCTGTGAAACACAGAGTCTGGATTAACCCACAGTATTCCCAGACAGTATTGTAGCTGGCAGTCTCATTGTGACAAATGGTGCTGTTTTGCCCCAAACCGACTTAATTAATTTTATATTAGTGACAAATGTGGAATAGAGCAGATGGAAGAAAAACCTTTTTAATGTATAATCAATATGCTTTAAGATAACATAAAATAATGCTATACAGAGCTATTCAGTATATTAAAAGGTAGTAAAAATAGATAGATGCCTATTTTTAACCTTAGGTACACCACATTGGCCGTTCTAAATGTTTGCAAATTATTTCAACTGTATAATTATTTAAGTCAGCCATGACATTGGCTGCTTCCCAATATGCATACTATAATATGCACTACAAGTATGGACTTGATGAAAGTCTATACTTTGGAGTAAGCTAGAGCATTCTACTACATCATAAAATTGAGGTGAATTCACAAACATCCTTCACACATATCGTTTCATATGCTTTCATTAGCATATTGCTAAATTAATTATTTATTCAGAGCAGCACCATGACAGGTATGAAGTCGGCTGTGAGGGATAGGCTTACCATGTTTTCAATGGCATCTGCTGAAAAAGTTGTATAAAGCTCCTATAAGATCACTTATCATTTGCCACAGCTCATGTTGTCTGGAGTTTTTTTGTCTTCTAAATTTCTTGGAAAGATATTTTTGATTTAAATTTTTATTGTATAATTGTATGATTAGTTTTTGTTTTTTAAATATTTTAAATAATTATTTAAAAATATATATTTCATTTGAGTTCATTTTAGTACTTCAACTTAGTTGAAATTGCCAAGGCAACATTTTAAATTTTTGTTTAGTTGACTGGTTAACAGATTTTAAAACGTCAACCTTGGATTTCTCACCACTTTTAGTACAGCTAAAAAGTTTATATTTAGTCAGAATGGATGCCTAATTTCGTTTAACACTATAAGGTAATCTACCTTTAAGTGAAAGCAATACAACAGACTGCATATATATCTCAAAAACGTTCAAAAAATCACACCTATTCTAATCTCACATACTATTTTAGTATGCCAATTGAAATGCAGTGACTGATACGTCTGCCCTGTGAGCAAACTAAAGATGGAAAGAGTACAATACAACAGACTGCATATATATCTCAAAAACGTTCAAAAAATCACACCTATTCTAATCTCACATCCTATTTTAGTATGCCAATTGAAATGCAGTGACTGATACGTCTGCCCTGTGAGCAAACTAAAGATGGAAAGAGTCTTTACTGACCTCTAGTGGCCGTGAGGTGAAAGCAAACCATTGCTCACTTTATACAGTTCTGTTCTTTACAGATGTTGAACCCATATTTCTATATTGATGCAACAATACACTAAGGCATTTCTTCATTATCCCCAGTCATTCCCTTCTGCTGAATAAATAGAAATTCTATTAACTTTTCTTCATTATGGCTGTGCTTTTGACCATTACGGTTGTTTGAAACCATAAGCAGACCAAAAAGAAGGCTCATTTCCAAACAAGGACATATTCAAGCCATTACATGATTTAATGGCAAACATCCCACCAAACATGACACTACTGTCAAACTGGATCATTAAACAAAGAGGAAACAATCTACAGGCAACCGAGTCCCTGATGTTGTCTTTGGATGGAGCTGGTTTTGGTTAATTGCTCTTTGGCTGTCTTGCAGTATAAATACGTACAAGCTACACAATGTGATGAAGACCTCATTCAACCTAGTTTAGGAACAATAGGTAGTAAAAATTCTGCTCTCCTTGTCCTACAATAGGGGAAGGGCCAGTACAGATGATGATTTTGGACGGTGAGGCTGAGCCTGAGATCTATCTGGGGAATGCATGCAGTTAAATAAATAACAGCTGCTCAACGCCAAGCAGAACGTTCTTGTGGATTGAATAAAAAAAGGGGGTAAAAACAGCTGGATGCAAATAAATAGTTCCCTTTTAAACTCGGAAATTAGGTTTTTAGATTTTTTACATTTGAAAAGTTACAGTATGATATAAAAGTAATATTTAAATGAATAGTTCACCACACACACCTTCAGGCTGTCCAAGATGTAGACGAGTTTGTTTCTTTATCAGAACAGATTTGGAGAAATTCAGTATACATCACTTGCTCACCAATGGATCCTCTGCAGTGAATGGGTGCCGTCAGAATGAGAGTCCAAACAGCTGATAAAAACATCACAATAATCCACAAGTAATGCACACGACTGGACATTTTAACTTTGAAATGTTTCTTCCAGCTAAAACATGAGTCCTCTATCCATAGCTTTCTCCAGTGAAAAAGTCATCTTGTCCGAATCAGGAGAGAAATATGCACAGAACAAGCACTGTTTATAAGCGAAAATTCCAGAACAGTTCTAAACATATGGATTTTGATGTGAAAGGACAACAGGGGATGGACTTTTTCACTGAAGGAAACATTATTATAGATTATGGACTGGTATTTTGGCAAGAATACAGTTTAAAAACTTCTTAATGATGGATTTGTTTCTTACACAGCTTTTCACTTCACAATGTTTTATCCGCTGTTTGGACTCTCATTCTGACAGCACCCATTCACTGCCAAGGATCCATTGCTGAGCAAGCGATGTAACGTGAAATTTCTCCAAATCTGTTTTGATGAAGAAATAAACTCATCTGTACATTTTGGATGGCTGGAAGGTAAGTACATTTTCAGCAAATGTTCATTTTCGGGTGAATGGTTCCTTTAAGATTCGGTCACTAATCTAGTAAGCAAATTTGTGGCAAAGTGAGGTATTCCTTCAAAGACAATTTTACATAATTGAAATATTTTTTTGAAAAATGTTTTATTAAATTGGGGGGAAAAGGCAAAAAAAATTGTGGTCTCAGGCCTTTGGATCCCAGTGCATATGTTCATACAGTTTTAATCTAAGGAAACATTTGGTTGTTTGTGAATCATTATTTATTTGTACATTTACAACAATCATGTTTCATCCAGGCATCAAGAGTAAATTGTGTAAAAAAAAAAAAAAAGTCACAATCTGCATGGCAGTACAACTTTTTTTCCGCATAATATAATACAGCTTTTCTCTTTATCTAAATAGATCTATATCTATATATAAATATTCTCTTGCTATGCAGTAGAACACACCTGTTGTCAAATCAAACGCAGACACTTTTAAGGCAACAATTGTTCAAACTTCACAGTTTCTCAGTTGTCAATATGTTTATGTTTGTCTTCACATATTCATATATACGTAACATCGCTGCAAAGGTCGAGGCATATAAACTGAGACTCCACACGTCACAATTCACTACTGTCCTTATATACACATCATCTGTGGCATCTACTGGCAAATGCCTTGAAGAAAAGTGCAGTGTGTTAGTTGTTTGCTTGTTTTTCTTCTTTTAATTAAGAAAACACGAGTTAACATCTTCATTTCACACTCTATTAACTAAGATACGAATAACAAAAGGAAAAGCATTAAGACAAAAGAGTTTCAAATATAGGAAACATTAAGCAGCCATAAGCTGAAAAACCATTAAATAAAGCAAAATCACACCGTATGCTGTTTTAACATTGGGAGGAACTAAATTCTTAATCAGTACCTACTAAAATTACAACTAAATGTATAATTACAATTTAGGAAAAAAAATGGCAGTATGGACATTTACTGAACTGAAGGCAGATTTATTTGAACAATTGTCTACTATTTGTTCTCTAAAATGTGGTTTTAGATACTTTGGTTAGATTGTTACCTCCAGAAATTAATTTATTCAGTCACATTAGCGTAACATCTAAATGATAATTGATTGACAAGTGCATTTAAATATGCTTATTAATCGCATTTAAATATTAAAAGATCTAAATATCAATAAAGCCTTGCATTCTGCATTGTTTTTGGATACTCACAACATCTACATTAATTTTAGACAAATTTTGAGGCATCAGATTTGTATCGTGAAAAAGAAATAAAATCAAATGTCAATACTGCGAATTATGGGAGTTAAAAAAAAATATTGTGTGCAATTATTGAGAGTGCAAAACATTGCAACAACAAAGTCATATATGTGCTGTAATGTGCTTTACAATTTGTCAATTATGTACATGATACTGTTTTATTTAAAAGCAAACCTACAATGAGGCCTAAGTCTTTACAAGGACTTAGTCAGTACAAGTCTTTTCAGTACCGATTCATTCAGGCATTTATGACTGCCTGAGAGTTGGAATAAAAATTTACTGAGCAGCTGATCTAGAATTGACAACATTATAGAGAGCAACCACATGGACTAAGTGAAAGAACTTTAGCAATTTATACATTCAACCACTAGGGGTGCTATAGCTGCAAATGAGTGGGCATTTCTCCATAAATCTGTGCTGAGAATGAGATCAACTACATCACATCTCTAAACAAGTTTCATATATAAAGTCTGTCCTTCCAAGTGCCCTGTCTCTTCAGAAAGCTCACTAGGTAAGTCATCCTTAGAATACTGAGCAGAGGTATACTGGTTAAAAATATTCACATCACAGTCTGTGAAGAACACTCACTCCTTTCCTGACATCACACACATGTGCTCACACACATCAGCAGTTGCATGAGGAAGCAATGGTGTCACTTCAGCCCATAAGGAGAGCAGGACAAAGGCCAAAGGGCTCCTTAGAAAAAGAAATCACTGTCGGAAAGATAAAAAGGAAGGTCAGTGCATGTAACATTCCTCTCTTGTGTATTCCATTAGCAGGGGGTAAAGAACAAACCAAAACAAGTTAAGAATGTACAGAAAAGTAGAATGAGATCAACTACATCGCATCTCTAAACAAGTTTCATATATAAAGTCTGTCCTTCCAAGTGCCCTGTCTCTTCAGAAAGCTCACTAGGTAAGTCATCCTTAGAATACTGAGCAGAGGTATACTGGTTAAAAATATTCACATCACAGTCTGTGAAGAACACACACTCCTTTCCTGACATCACAAACATGTGCTCACACACATCAGCAGTTGCATGAGGAAGCAATGGTGTCACTTCAGCCCATAAGGAGAGCAGGACAAAGGCCAAAGGGCTCCTTAGAAAAAGAAATCACTGTCGGAAAGATAAAAAGGAAGGTCAGTGCATGTAACATTCCTCTCTTGTGTATTCCATTAGCAGGGGGTAAAGAACAAACCAAAACAAGTTAAGAATGTACAGAAAAGTAGTAATCAATAAAAGCAAACAGAAGGTATCACTCACAATTCTTGGAAAATCAGAGGCAAAAGTCACTCCTTTACTGGCCTTTTCCTGTGACCCACTGCTGCTGCCGCTCACTGAGTTCTTACACATGATACCTGAAAGTGTGTTTGTGGAAATAACATTAACACATATATATGAGTTACTGCAAAGTATAGATTTACAAAGTTATAGATTTCTTTAAGCAGAAATCTATAACCGATGAATGGCCGTTATTATAAATCTACATTACTTTGCTATAAAAAGGTACCTTACAAAGTAACATTAATAAAAGTTGCACACAGATCATTAAATGCACACAGCAACTCTTAAACACTGAGTGTTCTTAAAGGGCCATACATAATATATATTGCTATCCCTTTAAGTGAAATAAATCTTAAAATAGGTGGAAATAATAAGAAATAAAATATCGGCCAATAAAAAGTCTAATATTTGCTGATGCTAATACCATTACAAAAAAATGTAAAAATATAATTTATAATCACATAACTAATATGGCACCGATATTATTTATTTAAATTAAACTTTAAATGTAGATGACATTCTCAAGACCTCTTATGTTTCAACCTCGTCAATAACTAGACTTAATTTCGACATGTATCACCCAGTTTTCATGATCCAATCAATTCCAAATAGATACAATTAAGTTCCTACCTAGACATATTTTTTCTTGTTTTATCCTGTTTCAGTACAAAATAGGTTGTGAACGCATTTCCAAGTTGAAATATTTTTTAAGCGGTAAAATCTTTGTAACCTCACCTATGGTACCTGTAGGGGGCAGTAAGTCCAGTCTCTGCAGGCTATTTCGGCGAGAGCTTGGGTACCCTCCACTTTTAGACAGACGACGCTGGCGGCTGGACAACATGGCCGCTGGAGACACGATTCCCGGAGGGGGCACTTTACCCATCTGTTTGTAGAGTTCCTCGATCTCTTGCTTTTGAGAGGCCTGGAGAGCCTGAACCTCTGCCACATGTCTGAGAAAGAGGGAGAAGGACAGGAAGTCAACAACAAGGCAGTGGTTTTAAAGTTCAGGTGGCACTTAATCACTAAATAATGAGAACACATTTAGATAATACACAATTGATTAATCAGTCCAGCAATATAATTAAATTTTTTGTACTAATTTAGGTTTAGGTTAATGACAACCTAGTACCGTAGACCTCATTCAGCAATATATCATAGTATATAGCTAGTCTGTGAAAGTGCTATTCTGATTTTTTTTTTATTTTTGCACGGTAATCAGATCTTTGCACACTGAAGACAGCGTAATTGAAAACTTTTCACAGCACTGAACATGTTCGGACATGTTAGGTCAAAAAACGTTTTGGATTAAATCTATAATGGACACTGATGGTTTGGGTCTAAACTATAAGAGTTACAGTAGCTGCTTAACAGGTTTGACTTTATGCTGGCACACTGCTAGAATTTGATAAAGCACTTCATAAAATGTACAGGGATTTGCAGGAATGTACCACAAGCAACCCACAAAACATACTACAGGCTCACCTCTCTCTGAGTTCCTGTAGCTCCTCATACATTCCCTCGTCTTCACTCTCTGTCTCGTCGCTGCTAGCGTACGAGGTACTGCGTGTGTAACTCATCCACGGCTGATTTAGATTGAACTGAGGACTCCCGGCTGAACTTTCCAGCAAACTTACACTTATTCTCCTCCGCCTCCTTTCTGTCTCCTCCTCCACCTCCTCCTCCCCTTCTTCACCTCCACGTCCCTCGTCTGGTTCTACAACTTCTCTGTCCAGTGGTTTAGTTCCTCCAGTCCACAAGGGGGCGCTGTCTGAGCGGCACAAAGCCACACTAGGTGGTTTGATAAGTGGTGGGGACTCATTCAGAGAGCTGTGACTGCTTTCTGATTCCACCTGTACGTCTGTGCTGCTGTCTGATTGGCTGTTGGGTGCAGGGGGCGTGGCTTGAGGATCTGTTATAGGGCATGTTTGGGTCAGTATGGATGTGGGCGTAGCTGTAGGGGTGGGAGTTGGCGTCAGGCTGGGAGTTGGAATGGGGATTTCCTTGCTTGGACTGACTTTGAACCGTCCCACTGTGACAATAGACTTTTTCTCTGTGGACAAGGAGACAAGGGATTTTTTTTTCCTATCACAATGTGGACAGTGAACATAACAGCAAAACAATAAAAAAAACAACAGGTTTTTACATTCTCTAAACAAAATGTGAGTGGTAAAACTAACTGAAAGACTAACTGTACAATGTGCTTAGTATGCAATGAGCTCTTATAGTCAATAGATGGCAGCTGTGTATTTTCATTTTAGCCCTTGGCTAGACAAATTGACATTATGGGCACTGAGTTTGAGTTGGCCACTACATAGAAATAAACCTGAGCAGAATATTGCAACAAAATCAACATTATGACTTTTACAATTATCATTCTATCACAACCAGATGATAATCTGCTGGTGGAACAGGGCATGTTTATTTTCAGCAAGACAGCAAAAATACTGTTTACCTTTAGATTACACTATCATTCGAAGTTGCGGGTCTTTTTTAAAATGTTCTTTTAAAAGTCTCTTATGCTTATCAAGGCTGCAATTATTTGATCAAAAATACAATAAAAACAGTACTATTTTGAAATATTGTTACATCTTAAACTGTTTTCTATTTGAATATATTTTAAAATGTAATTCATTCCTGTGATGGCAAAGCTGAATTTTCAGCAGCCATTACTCCAGTCTTCATTGTGTCACATGATTCTTCAGAAATCTTTCTAATGCATTGATTTGGTGCTCAGGTAACATTTTTGTTTTAACAATGTTGAAAAGCTGTGATACATTTTTTGCAGGATTCTTTGGTAAACAGAAAGCTCAAAAGAATAGCATTTGTGTTTGTGTCTGCACATGAAATAATGGACGTGCATGTGCGTGTAAATATTTTTATTCTTGCCTGGTTGTATGGCCTTCATGTACTTCTGTGTCTTTGTGTACAAGGAATATAGGGTGTGTACTATTTATGGGTGTGTGTGTGTGTGTGTACGTGTGTGACAGATGGAAA